TAATAATCTACCGCATATACGCCAAATAGGGATTTTCGAAGTAGTCGACAGATTTGTATACTTGGGCTCTCTGATAACCAACAATGGTTATTGTTTCTCAGAAATCAAACGTAGACTAGGAATGGCCCGAACCGCAACTGCTAAATTAATTAAAATATGGAAACAATAACAAGGAATACTAAGCTCAGGTTGGTCAATGCCCTTATTTTTCCCATTGCTACATATGCAGCTAAAACATGGACTCTCAAAAAAATCGATAGGAGTAAGGTCGAAGCCTTCGAAATGTGGGTATATAGAAGAATTCTACGCATGTCCTGGACATAACATAGAACCAACCTGTCAATTCTGGAAGAGCTTCATATAAAAGACAGGCTACTAAAAAAATAAACCAAGCATACCTAACTTACTTCGGCCACATAGCTAGAAGAACGGGGCACTATGGAACTATTGGTAGTAGAAGGAAAGGTAGAAGGCCGAAGACCAAGAGGAAGATCTCCAATACGATGGGTAGACCAAATAAAGAGTTTGGTGGGAAAATCCCTACATGAAGCCGTCCATATGGCACAAGATCGCAGTCAATGGAGACAGCAGACTAACAATATTTAGGGTGTCACTACGCCCTGACAACGGCTAAAGGATTGAGGAGGAGGAGGATTTTTATGGACGAAGACGTTGCTTAGATCACTAATGATGGGATAAGATAATTAATGTGTCTGGAATTTCACTATATTTTTCACTCATTTTCCTGTGTACTGTTGTGTTATACCCGAACTGAGGAAGTTGATAAATTTCCATCAAAATCCAGACGTCAATGAGGGCTTCAATTTCTTCTGCAGATATAAGCATTGGATAACCTTGGATCTTGAGTTTTATTACTTCTTTGTTTGAGGTCTTATGAAGCGTATAAATTCATCTGGTTTACAATCATTTATAGAGTTTCTTCACCAAAAATTTTCAAAGTCATTTCTCTGTCGTATTTTGAAAACTAAAAACAACTTTGCGAAGTTTCATGAAAAACAATCTGTTGACTAAAAATGTAAACAGTTTCCTGACTTCAATTTTGTTCTGTATTGCGAATCTCCTTTTAAAATTGAACAACATCTTTTGAAGGTAAATTAGACAACACAATTTCATTTGCCATATCTCTACTACTTGCGCAACAGCTTCTATTATTTTCAGTTTGCAGTGCAATGATCACAGTCTTAATCGGAAACCATTTTATTGTCGGATAGGTTGTATAAGCAGTTTATAGCAGAATTCCACATCATCATCATCATCATCCAGCCCTTTATCCACTACTGGACATAGACCTCCCCCATTTTTGTCCATTGTACTCTGTCTTGAGCACTTTTTATCCAATTTCTTGACATGTTCTTGAGATCGTCAGTCCAACGTGTAGGGGGTCTTCCTCTACTTCTTTGTCTAACCTCGGCCTCCACTCAAGCAATCTCTTCGTCCTCCTTTTATCACTGATTCGGGCGACGTGTCCGGCACAGTTCCCTTTCAGTGTGGCAATTCGGGAAATTACATCGGTAACGCCTATTCTTCGTCTTAAGTCTTCATTTCTAACTTAGTCACGAAGCGATATACTTAGCATTGACCATTCCATTTTCCTCTGAGCTATTTGCAGCGTTTTAGAGCTATTTGTAGCTGTCAATGTCAAAGTTTCGGCACCATAGGTCATCACAGGCAACACACATTAGTCAAATGTCTTACGTTTTAAAGAAATTGGTATATCGCTTTTAAAGATGTCTTTGAGTTTTTCATAGGCTGCCCATGCTAGGTTTATTCTTCTTCGTAGTTCTCATGTTTGCTTGTCACTTGTGATCTTTATTTCGTGTCCAAGATTTATGTTTTTTTCTACTAGCTCTACTTCGTTGTCTCCAATATTGATATTTTCGCTAGGACTAGTACTAGCACATACTAACTGAAGTTCATGTAGTATTGTACCGGGTGGTCCAATAAGCCGATCTCTCGGCTATATATCAGAAACTATTCATGTTATAACTTTAGAAGAAAAAATTCCTTAGTAAAAGTGGCCAAGAGAAATCGCCGGAAATAACTTTCAAGATTCTGGATTAACCACTAGGGGGCGTAACCTGCAAAGAAAATTTTGAAAACCAGTTTTTTGGGAAATATGTCCAATTATACCAAGTGTTAAATAAGTAAGCTAGAAAGAGGCATAAACTCTGCACAAAGTTGTTCAAGTACTTTTTTTTGATTTTTTCAAATAAAGGGTGGGGGAGAGTGGGAAAGTATTTGTGGATAAATACCTATAACTTTGGTTTGGATCAACCGATTTTAATAAAATTAGTGTCATTAGAAAGAGTGTGGATAAATTAATTCACATCTACTATAAAATACTTGCATTTAGTCTTCATAGTCGTAGGTAGAGGGGACTTTCAAATAAAAAAAATTAAAATTTTTTTTTCTTAAAATTTTTTAATGGAAATACCTATTTATTGTAAATTATACTAGAACTGGATTAAATTCGTAACAAAATGGAGCAAACCGCATGTTAATAGCTTTTGTTATACTCGAGATGCGAATAAAAACTCATAAACATAAGTAAGTATAGTATTGACACACCCTGTATTATAAATTACATTAAAAAATAAGTCAGTAGGTATTTTCAAATTTTTTTATAGCAGAAGAATCTTAATGTTGATGCCTATTTTGTAAAAAATAGTTTTTTCGAAACTAAGTAGGCTACGACAATGAATTTGACGGGAGTTCATATTGTTTATTTATTGACAGCAGTCAAAACATTGTTAAGAAGCGCTATATTATAATTCGAATTAAAGATTGCACTTTTTTCAATAGATATTAATATTGGTAATATTAGTTATTAATTATCAGTACAAATAATTCCTGATTAGTATATCAAATTGTATGATATGATTGGAGTTTTTTTCGAATGTCACCAAAATGCCGCTATTGCCTCACGTATATATTTTGTAAGATATCTTGACAGGAGACATTATGGCAAAGAAGTATTTGAAATAAAGGCAAAAAGATTAAGAGAAACTGGTAGTTTTTCTCGTCCTTGTTTTAAACGACGTAGTAGAGTTATGACCGAAGATAATTCAATAAATGTTCTTGCTTTAATTCAACAGAATCCACATATAAGTAGTCCGAAATCTCTACTTCTTTGCCACAATATCTCCTGCCAGGATATCTTACAGAATATATACGTGAGGCAATAGCGTCATTTTGGTGATATTAGAAATAAACTCCAATCATATCATATAATTTGATATACTCATCACGAATTATTAGTACTGATAATTAATTACTAATATTACCAATATTAATATCTATTGACTACCTACTGACTTAAAAGTACCTACTGACTTATTTTTTAATTTATTTTATAATACAGGATGTGTCAATACTATACTTACTTATGTTTATGAGTTTTTATTCGCATCTCGAGTTTAACAAAAGCTATTAACATGCGGTTTGCTCCATTTTGTTACGAATTTAATCCAGTTCTAGTATAATTTACAATAAATAGGTGTTTCCATTAAAAAGTTTGAAGAAAAACAAATTTTAATTTTTTCTATTCGAAAGTACCCCCTACCTACGACAATTAAAACTAAATGCAATTATTTTATAGTAGATGTAAATTAATTCATCCATACTATTTCTAATGACACTAATTTTGTTAAAATCGGTTGATCCAAACCAAAGTTATAGGTATTTATCCACAAATACTTTCCCACTCTCCCCCACCCTTTATTTGAAAAAATAAAAAAAAAGTACTTGAACAACTTTGTGCAGAATTTATGCCTCTTTCTAGTTTACTTATTTAACACTTGGTATAATTGGTCATATTTCCCAAAAAAACTGGTTTTCAATATTTTCTTCGCAGGTTACGCCCCCTAGCGGTTAATCCAGAACCTTGAAAGTTATTTCCAGCGATTTCTCTTGGCCACTTTTACCAAGGAATTTTTTCTCCTAAAGTTATAACATGAATAATTTTTGATATATAGCCGAGAGATCGGCTTATTGGACCACCCAGTACATATCTCCTTAAGGTTTTCCGAGAACAAAACTGTGTCGTCTGCGAATTTCAAATTTCTTAATCTTCTACCGTTCCCTCTTGTTTGTATTGTAAATTATCCTCATACATCGGTAGTCAATGCAGCATGCTTGTAGTGCATCCAGGATTTTGTCAAATTCTACCGTGTCAAAGGCTTTATGGAAATCTACAAAGGCCAGAACAAGTGGTAGTTTGTATTTGATAGTATTTTCTATTACTGTTTTAATGCACTGTATGTGATCATTTATTCCAAATCCGGTACGAAATCCCTTGTTGCTCTATTGGCTGGTAAAAATCAAGTTTTTTCTCAAGACGATTTGTTGCTATTCTTGTAAAGAGTTTGTAGACAATAGAAAATATAGAATTAATAAAATCGCAATGTAATTTCACAAATTTCACATAGTTGCAAGATATTTGTTGATTAGTTGACAACAGAAACAATGACAGTGATAAATATATTTCCCGTTTAAAAAATTTGCATGAATATTTTGGTCAACAGGAAGTATGTTTCTAATTAACACAAATATATCTCATTATTTACCTTTAAAAATTAACTAAATTATTTTATAAATGAGAGATCATAATAAATAACCTTATATTAAATGCAGTGTCTAAAAAAAACTTTATTACATACCTAATTCTTAATAGACGGATTTAGATATCATAAAACTACACAAATGCTAGTTATTATCTGCACAAATTCTATTTCTTACCATGTAGTATAATGCAAGACACTTTAACAATATTTGCTTAGATGGCAGCACTGATACTGTCTGGAAATTCTAATTTCTATCGCCCATAAAACGAATAAAATGATGGTGGGAAGTTATTTTCCCACCGCCTACGAAAGGGTTAAATTGCTTTTTATACAAAACTTTTAGAAAACAAAAATAGTTGTAAGTAGCACAATTTATATAGTTATATTTTAATTAGGCCAAATTATTACTTTTCACAGAAACATCGCTTGGTATTTCTTTACGAGAAGATACAAGTTGCACCAAATACAAAAAGGCCCTTTATGACTACGGTGCTGATTTTGCCCATTGGTTAATCCGTCCCTGGCTGTACTCTCCCACTATCTACCAGTATAGTTCACTATGCGAGAAAAATACTAAATCAATTGAAGTAATGCATAGTTTTTCTAAAAATGTTATTACTGAAAGAAAGAAAACCTTCAAATTGGAAGATGCGCCGACTTATTCGAAGAAAAAATATAGAGCATTACTGGATGTGTTGTTAAGTTCACAACAAAATGGAAACCCGATTACTGTGGAGGAGATCAGGGAAGAATTAGATACTTTTATATTTGAGGTAAGTACAATAACTTCTTTATGGTAGGCATGGTGAAGATAATTTAATGGAAAATTTATTATTTTTAGGGTCATGACACTACTTCCGTTTCAATTATGTATACATTGATGGCATTAGCTAATGAACCTAAAATACAGGTACGTAATCAAATATTTCTGTACTTAACCTCTTAGTAGAGGCAGTTTAATTTTGTGTATCAGCAGTCACACACAGTCTACTACTTCTTCTTGTGGTACCTATCCGTTACGGATGTTAACAACTAACATGGCAATTCTAACTTTATTGGCCGCAGCTCGAAATAGTCCTGAAGTGGCCAAGGAAAACCATTTTCGTAAATTCTGGAACCAAGATATTCTTCTTCTTCCTGGTTCCCTCTTCCCGTAGACCTTTCCCTGTAGTGTAAGTTGTTACCGGTCATAATTATTATACCTAATGTTGTTAATTAAACTTCAGTTCACTTTTATGCCGACTGTCTCGTTTACCAAAGCTTCGCGTATGATTTCTTCAGAATAAGCATTAAACAATAACGGCGACGGCTTGAGCAAGTTGATAAAATCGTCTATTTTGGACAGCAATTAAATTGTAATGCAGAAAATCACGGCGAAATTAGATCCAGAATAGAGCAGGCTAGAGCTGCTTTTAGAAGGATGTCCAAGGTGTTACGTAACAGAGACCTAAAATTTTCATTAAGGATCCGCCTACTTCGCTGCTACCTGTTCTCGGTCTTACTTTATGCTGTCGAGTCCTGGACTGTGAATAAAATCGATCTAAATCGCCTTGAGGCTTTCGAAATGTGGTGCTATAGAAGAATTTTAAAAGTTTCCTGGGTGGAGAAGATTCGTAACTCCACATTACTAGAACGTCTCAGCAAGACTACTGAGATCATAAAAAGCATCAAGCAGAGAAAGCTGGAATATTTCGGACATGTAATGAGAGGTTCCAAATATAGATTGCTACAAAATATCATGCAAGGAAAAATAGCAGGCAAACGCAGTCCAGGACGAAAAAGAACCTCATGGTTGAAGAACTTGCGAGATTGGTGTGGTGTAGATACAAGCATGCTATTTAAGTTGGCAGTGGATAAAATTAAAATCGCTATGATGGTAACCAACGTTCTGAAAGGACATGGTACATGAAGAAGAATAACGGCGACAGTATGCAACCTTGCCTGACCGCTCTCCTTATCTCCACTTCTTCTGACACTTCTCTTCAAATTTTCACATTTGATTGTTGGCTGTAGTATAAATTTGATATCAATGTTACATCACTCACATCCAGATTCTTGTTTTTGAGTACTTTTATAAGACGGTCATGTTTTACTTTATCCAATGCCTTGTTGTAGTCTATAAAGCATACATAAAGATTTCGATTAACATCCAAACATCTTTGGGTCAGCCCGTTAAAAGAAATTAGCTCCTCTCTTGTGACCACTCCATTCCGAAATCCAAACTGGGAATCACTAATATCCATCTCCAGCTTAGCGTGTATTCTATTATGGATGATTTTTAGCAGAGTTTTTAAGGTATGTGACATTCGACTGATCGTTCGATAATCACTACATTCTTTGGCATTTACTTTCTTTGGTAGACAAATAAATGTTGATGTCAGCATTTCACGTGGAATAATTCCTGTGGAATAGATTGTGTTCAGTAGTTGGACGAAGAGATCTATGTTTTTTTCATTGAACAGTTTTAGCAATTCACTTGGTAATTCATCTGGACCAGCAGCTTTATATTTTTCACGGACCTTATTGCATGCATAACTTCTGACTTTGTTATTTTGGGTCCCTTGTCTTTACTCTGATTATTTTCATATATATTTTTCTGTCTCTGGTAATGGAATAATTCGTTTATATACTCACTCCATCTTCCTAATTTTTGTTTCGTCTTCACTAAAATGATTTTTTGTTTTACCAATAGTATGCTTGAGGTTTTTTGTTTTGGTACCCCAGCTAATTCTTTAACTTTCTTATGAAGATTGAAGTTATCATATTTGTTTTGTAAATCTTCTATTTCTTGGCATTTTCCAGCGAAATAAGTCTCTTTAGCTTCTCTTATTTTCCTTCTTATTTGATTATGCAGCTGTTGATACTGAGTTATGTAGATACCCTTTTGCCTTCTTCTGTCCTCCATCATTTCCAAGATTTCTTCTGTCATCCAATCTCCTTTCTTGCATCTGGTTGTTGTGAGTTCTCTGCGACTTGGTTCGATAATTGCATTTTTAAAGAATTGCCACTGTTGTTCTACATTAAGCTTTGTATGTTTAGTTTATTACTTTTGTAGCTGATATTGCACTTAAAATGCATTGGAGTAGCTCATATCTGTTTTGATTTCTCATTATATGTCCCAAGTACTGCAGCTTACGGATCTTCACGATGTTGAATAAAAATAAGGACCTAAAAAGACTTGGATAATGTGGTTGGATAAATATTGAAGTAGAAAATATTGTTACTGGTACATAAAAATATAATATAATATACGTGTTAACACATAAATTATATGTGAAAATTTACTCATAACATTGGTGTCCTTAGACGTTTCTTTACTTTTCGCATAAACTACGCAATATTTCTTCTTTTGAATATTTTTCGTCCAGATACCACGCATACCGTGTCATTTATTGAAATTATTCCTGTGTGTTATGAGAGTTGAATTTGATCCAACTGTAATTTTAAATTAAAAATTAATGTAAAAATTATTCATGTAGTGTCGTTTTTACATTTTAGGAAGAAATTTACGACGAAGTAATATCAGTAATAGGTGACTCAGTAACTCCCACACTTCAAGAATTAGGAGAATTAAAACTAATGGAGAGGAGTATTAAGGAAAGTTTGCGTTTATATCCAAGCGTTGGCCTTATAGGTAGAGTAGCTGGAGAGAATTTACAGACCAAAACAGGATATACCATTCCAAAAGATTGTAATGTGCATCTTTTTATATTCGATTTGCACAGACGACCGGAATTTTGGGAAGATCCCTTGAAATTTGATCCTGATAGATTTCTGCCGGAAAATTGCACTAACAGACATCCATTTGCGTATATACCTTTTAGTGCCGGGCACCGCAATTGTATAGGTATGTGATTTAATAACAAAGCAAAAATATTTAGGGATAAATATTTTGCAAAATTTAGGCAACCCGAAATGTTGCTTAACCATAACCATTTTTAACATAACCCAGTTATGTTAAAAATCTTAAATTACGAAGATGTAGGTTTTGATGCTGAGTTGACATATAATGTATATTATAGCACTCCCGGTTATAGCGGAAATAGACGATTGTAGATAGAACCTAATAATTTTTATTTTATTTGCAAATTCTACAAAAAAATATTAGATAAAATTTGTGCAAAATGTCCTATACATGATTTTCAAAAATGAAGTATTTTCGATTTTTTTGTAAATTTTGAAAAAATCCTAGTTCATTTTGAATAACGATATCTCCATTAATAACACGCCCACGGAGAAGCTCAACGGTTTGGTTATCTTTTCCTATGCGGATCTCATGACCTAGGTATTTATAGGCTATTACCTGGTCTATGGATCTTATTCCTACGCATATATCTTCGCTGACTACAAGATTTGTCATTATCTGGGTTTTAGATATATTTATTTTCAATCCCCCTTCTAGCGAGGAAAGGTAATTTAAAAGTTCTTTTGCCTCATCTATCCTATCAGCTATTAGTACAATATCATCTGCAAATCTTAGATGGCTAAGTTTTTCTCCGTTTAGGTTTATGCCCTTGGCGGTCAGTTTTGCCCTTTTACATATATATTCCAAAAGCGTAGTGAACAGTTTCGGCGATATGGTGTTCCCCTGGCGCACTCCACGTTGTATCGGGAATTTCTGGGTTTGACGATCACCCACTCTAACACTGGCTGTTGCGTTTTGGTATATGTGTTTAATTATATTTACATACCGATAGTCAATCCTGTATTCTGTCAAGGCGTCCAACATTTTTTGTTGATTTACGGTGTCGAATGCCTTTTCATAGTCGACAAATATTAAAGCTAGTGGTTTATTATATTCAGTGCATTTTTCTATAAGATTTTTTATTACCAGTAGGTGATCGTTTGTTCCATAGCCTTTTCTAAAACCCGCCTGTTCTACGGGCTGATAAAATTCCAATTTATTTTCTAGTCGTTTCGTAACAATTTTTGTAAATAGTTTATAAATATGTGAAAGTAGACTTATGGGCCTGTAATTCCTGAGGTCGGTAGCATTAAGACCATACATATAAACAATTACCATTCTAACTATCAAATCTTTGGCAGCCATGGCCTACCCTTTACTATATTGAAAAAAATAAGTATTGTTAGGTAATGAAATATCTCAAAAGTTGTTGGATTTAGGAATCTGAAGTAAGAATACCAAATTATTGGCTTAAAAAAACAGCGGAAAATATAATAAAACACAGGGTGTTCTATTTACTTATTAATACAAATATGAAAATATTTTTAGGGCAAAAATTTGCTATGCTGGAAATGAAGAGTGTCCTATGCGGAATACTTCGCAATTTCAAATTGGAACCCATAACCAAACCTCAAGATATTGTTTTTAAAACAGATTTAGTGCTTAGAACAGAAGATGAAATACGAGTGAAGTTTGTACCTAGAAAATAACTTAAAATTGTTAGTTTTCTTATTTTTTTTTATTATAGTGTACCATTTTTAAAGTTTATGGTTTTATTTCAATAAAAAAAATATACTTTCTTAGAATAGTGTGTAACTTTTTTCATTTGATTCAAAAAAGTGTCAGGAAAGTTTGTGAACAGGATTTATGGTGGTAAAATGAAAATTGCAATATTGTGCGTAAGGAAAATGTATGTCCAAAGTACATAGACCAACGTCTGCAAGAATAACCAATTTAGATTAAACATTTTTTTGACCACAAAGACCAATACATTCAATAACACCCATGGACAACGATTTATGATGGATTACATTATAATCAACAGAGATAAACGTCCATCGAAATTAATCGACGCAACTTGCCTAAAGTTAGCTGATGTAGGTAGCTACCATAGCCTAGTATTATGTAAAATAAGAATTATCATGAAAAACACCCAAGAGAGCGGCGCCAGCACAAACAAAAATTAAAGTCATAGGCCTAAATACGGAATCCACGTAATATTTATACAGAAAAGAATATCAGAAAAATATTGCTGGAAATTAAATAGTAGAAAACGATAACACCAAGAAAAGTTAGGAAAAACTCAAAAATAACGTAATTAATACAGCAACAGAATCACTTGAAGAGAGGAAAGTAACGGAAACTAACATATCAAAAAAGAAAAACCTTATGCTTTAAAAAGGAAGTGAAAACGAAATAAAAAAAGCACTATAAAGGATTTAAAAATAAAACGAATACTTTAGTTAAACAAATAAAAAAAAAAACACTCACATACCTTCTCAAAACAGATGAAACCCGACTTCTACAGAACACAAAAAGAAATATGGAGAATGATAACAGGACAAAGAGAAGAGATGAACAAACTAATAAAAACAAAACATATTCAGAAGAAAACATGGAAAGACTACTTTCGATCCTTATTGAAATAATGAACCACCAATACTAGAGGTGATGGCAAACGAAGAAATAAAAATTAAGTGGGAAGAGTTAAAGGGAGCATTAAGAAAATTGAAAAAGATAAAGTAACTAGAAGAGGACAGAACAACAAACGAAGTCCTAAAGTACGGAATACCAGGTCTGACCAAACAACTACTAAAACCAATCCAAAAACTAATAGAACAAAACAAAATTTCTTAAGAATGGAGATCAAGCATTCTAATACCTCTTTTCAAAAAGGAGACTAATCGGACTCAGAAAATTACAGAGGAATTAACTTATTAAATACAACACTAAAATTACCAACCAAAGTGATAACAAATAAACTAAATGAAATTATAATACTAGCAAAAGAACAACAAAGTTTTAGGTCGGGAAGATCATGCTTTGACCCTCTTTTTATAATAAGGCAATTGCAAGAGAAATTAAATCAAATCAAATTATGGACTGATAGAATTACAAATAAAGAAGAACTGGAGAGGGTAAAGAAACAGAAGTAATCACCACTATACAAACCAGAAAACTGGAATACCTAGGCTACGTGATGAGGAGTCGAATATATGAAATTTTAAGACTCATAATACAGGGAAAGATTCAAGGAAGAAGATCTGTTGGCCGAAGGCAGAACTCATGGTTAAAGAATCTACGTGATTGGTATCAATGCAGATCGATTGATTTGTTTGGAGCAGCAAGTTCTAAAATAAAAATAGCCAATATTATTGCCAATCTCCGTACGGAGACGGCACTCTAAAAAAAAGAAGAACAATAATCAGAATACAACAATCTGGCGTATCTATGTTTCGTGGACTTAAGAAGTCATTTGGAAAGAAGTCAACAGTCAAAAGAGATAGCTTCAGGAATAATCAAACTAATAGAAAATATCTACTAAAACAACCCAATAAAACTAAATGTGGAAGAAAGACCAGTGAACGACAGACTAGCAATACTCCAATTAAATAGCAAACCATTTAATGTCAATGTTTATCCAGATATATGCCCCTACTGCAGAAAATAAATATGATAATGATGTCAAATCATTCTATAGCCAATTAAAACAGACACTTAAAAATCTAAAAAGTAACGAAGTCACATATATTATTAGAGATTTTAATGCAAAAATTGGCCAAGGTCGAAAAATCTGACCTGGTAGGTGAATATGGACTAGGGGAGAGCAATGAAAGAGGCGATAGATTATACCAGTTCTGCCAAGAACATGACATGATAATCGCAAATACATGGTTCAAATTACACAAAAGAAGGTTATACACATGGAGGGGACCAGGAGATAATTCACTACATATGATTAGAAATCAGATAGACTATATTCTGGTAAACAGGAGATTTAAGAAATGGCGTCACCAGGGTAACGATATATCGTGGTGCAGATATCGGTTCAGACCATAACCCTGTAATAACTGACATCAAAGTAAAGCTCAAAAAAGTCCAAGAAAGCCCCAAAGCACCAAAATTAAATATCTAAAGATCCAACAAAACGTTAATAGAAAATGACTTAAACAATGAGCTAAAGAAATCAATAAATGAAAACAACACAGAGATATGGAACACATTTAAAGATCTTACCTTGAAAGTAATAGAAAAATATTCAACAACGATACACATTCACAAAAAACAACAATGGATGACTGGTGAAATCCTGGAATTAATGGAGCAGAGAAGAAAACTGAAAGGTAACAAGACAGAATATAAGGAAAAACAGAAACTAATTAAACAAAAAATAAAGGTGGCTAAACAAAATGGATGGAGGATAAATGCAAGGAATTAGAAAAGTTGAATGAAAAACATGATACGTTTAATATGTTTAAAAAAGTTAGAGAATTAGCTGGTCTTTATCATAAGAAAACTCCACATACTATAACCGATTCGTCGGGAAAAATGATAATAGACGAACATGAAATTCGAACAACCTGGTGTAATTATATAAGTGAACTGTATAATGATGATAGACCCGAAGAACCGAAGACTTTAGTTAAAGGTGAACGACCAGAAATACTAAAATCAGAAATACTGCATGCTATAAAGTTAGGCAAAGTACAAGAAAGCCGTTGGCCCTGATTACATACCGACAGAGATGTTAAAGCTTATAAATGAGGAGAACATTGGAATACTGGTTAAACTTTTTAATGATGTTCTTTTATGAAACTTTTTAAAAGCTGAGCAACTCTTTAGAATAGCTCGAGACAGAGACAGTTCGCCATGTAAATCGCCCAACGTCAAGGGGACTTGATAGGGCACGTTAAGAAGAAGAAGGAAGAAAGACTAACTAACCCTATTAAATCTGGCAATAGGATAAGATAGGAAGATTCCTTGAGTCCTCTATTGTTTAACCTAATTTTGGATGTAATAATAAAAAAGTAAAAACTAAAAACGATACTAAATGGAAGAAAAACAACTTAAAATAAATCTATGCAGACGACGCAATACTACTCTCTTAAAGTGAAGATGATTTACAACGTGTGTTACACCAATTTAATATAACCTAATAAAATTAAACATGATATTTTCTAAAAAAAAAAAAAAACAAAAATGCATAGTTACAACATCAAATTAACTAAGATGTCAATTGTAGCTGGGATATCAGATAATACAATAAGTGATGGAGTTAAAATATCTAGGCATCACATTATCCAGCTACGAAAAGCTTGAAACAAAAGAAGAAGACCAAGTAAATAGAGCAAACAGAGCCGCAGGTTGCCCGAATCAAACAATATGAAGAAATAAAGATATCGAGAAGGAAATGAAAGGCAGAATATACAAAACAGTCATCAGACCAATTATGAAATAGGAAGAGGTAAGAACGAAAGAAGAAGAAGACATTTTTTTCTAGTTTCTTTCCAACTACAAAGATTCACAGCAATAAAGAGAAAGAGTAAAAAGTGTTGCACAGTACCGTCGCAATACGTTATTAGCAATAGATAAATACTCACCAACTGCTTAGTCCTACGGATAATCAAACATATCCTGCTTGACTGCTCGTACTTCAGAAACAACACATACAGTCCACCTAAAAACTATCCTCACCAAAAACATTATTAAGCTATTTAAGTGATACAAAATTGTATATCATTTAATATAATACAATTAATTCTTTTGTGTAGATAATTTCACTAATAGTTTGCGAAAAAACGAATACATATTATTTAGAGAGTTCAATGTACAACCTTCTTTATTGTTCGTATTTTATTTGCATCATTTTTCTCAATTTTTTCAACAACTTCCGATGCTTCTCTTAATTGTTAATAATAAATATGACTTTATCCATAAATATTTATAATTTAAAAAACTAAATACTTTAAATAAATTGTTATTATCTGAGAGCCAGCACTCAATCAATTAAATTTCAAGTCTTAAATATATTCTTCGTCTCCTCTCTCTCCTTGAAGACTAGCATGCACTATTGGCGTTGTAACAAGAATTGTAGGAGTGGGTTTTGTGGTATGTGCCCTTCTTCTTCTTAACGTGCCCTATCAAGTCCCCTTGACGTTGGCGATTAACATGGCGAAACTGTCTCTGTCTCGAGCTATTCTAAAGAGTTGCTCAGCTTTCTTTATACCTGTCCACTCTCTGATATTCTTCAACCAAGAGGCCTGCTTTCTACCAGTTCCTCGGCGTCCTTCGATTTTACCCATCATAATAAGTTGAAAAATATTATATCGGTCTCCCCTTACTACGTGCCCAAAATAGGCCATCTTTCTACATTTAATGTTATCAAGCAGCTCGCGAACAGCATTTGCTCTCTCAAGGACTGCCACATTTGTCAGCATAGCCGTCCATGGAATTTTTAGTCTGTGCAGCCACATTTCAAATGCCCCCAGACGATTAATGGTGGATATTTTTAATGTCCATGCTTCGACACCGTATAAAAGGACTGACCAAATGTAGCATTTAACCATGCGCTTTCGAAGTTGAAGTTTGCAAGTTATCATTACAGAAGAATGACCTTATTTTTAAAAATGTCGTGCGGGCTATCTCGATTCTACATTTTATCTCTTGATCTGGATCTAGTTGTTCAGTAATATGGCAACCAAAATATTTAAAACTGGACACTCTTTGAATTATATGACCTTTAACATATAATCGTGCATCTTGATGTGCTAAACGGCTAAACACCATCTGTTTTGTT